CGACGGACCAGAGGTACGGTCCGTAGATTGATCTACGGACCGTCGATCTAGTCCGTCTATCGCTTCTGAGAAACTGACTATTTTTGGGGTCCTCTTTTTCTCCAACTCTAAACCCTCCCAAAACAAGGTTTCAACCCATACACTTGGAAGCACAAAAATCCCTCAACATACCATAGATTACAACTCAAATACCAACCAAACAACACAATTATCAACTTCAACAACGAATCCAATCCTTCCTCAATAAAGTGCTATGATAGATGTAGCAGTTGGGCAACTCACTATGCGGGCACATGATAAAGTGGAAGTGTTCAATGTGTACAAGGAATTAAAGCTACCAGTTGTATATGAAGAGTTATCTGCAATAAATATGATCTTGAGGCAGAGGCTCGATATATTGCATCCAAGGACCCATTAGAGCGAGTGCTAGTAGGAGATGATATTTATGGGGATGTTGAAGAATAGGTAATGGTGCAATTTCTTGATGTGGCACTTGTAGGTACATCAGGAGATCGATAAGAACCTTTAAATAGGGTGTTGGGTCCTCCACCCAATCCCTTCATTGAAGAAGCACCCCAGCTGGAGTTAAAAGCATTGTCGACCCACCTCAGGTATGCATTCTTGGGTGAAGATAAGACCTTACCAGTTATTTTGTCTGCAGTATTATCTGATTCCCAGGTAGAAGCAGCACTAATCATCTTGAGGAAGAGAAAAGCAGCCTTGAGTTGGCAAATGTCCGACATCCATGGAACCAGTCCTGCATTGTGCATACATAAAATTTACATGGAAGAAGGGCATAAGTCAAGTGCACAGCATCAACGGACAATAAATCCAGTGATGAAGGACGTGGTGAGAAAATAGGTGATCAAGTGGTTAGATGCAGGGATCAGTACCCCATATCACATAGTAAATGGGTGAGTCTGGTTCAGTGTGTGCCCAAGAAGGGTGGAATGACGGTGGTAACCAATGAGAAAAATGAATTGATCCCCACAAGAATAGTGACTGGGTGGCGCATCTGCATGGATTACAAGAAGTTAAATGATGCTACTAGAAAGGACCATTACCCGGTGCCTTTTATTGATCATATGTTGGATAAATTGGTGGGTCAGGAATACTATTGCTTCTTGGATGGCTACTCAATCTACAATCAGATAGTCATTGCACCAGAGGACCAGGAGAAGACTACCTTCACTTGTTCGTATGCACTTATGTGGTCAAACGCATGCCATTCGGATTATGTAATGCACCGGCGACATTTTAGAGATGCATGATGGCAATTTTCCATGATATGGTGGAGGATTTTGTTGAGGAGTTCATGGACGACTTCTCGATGTTTGGTGAGTCTTTTGAACTTTGTTTGACTAATCTTGAGACAGGGTTCTTGCCAGGTGTGAAGAAACAAATCTTGTGTTGAATTAGGAGAAGTGTCACTTCCTAGTTCGAGAGGGAATTGTGTTGGGACACAAAATCTCCAAGAAGGGGCTGGAAGTTGACAAAGCCAAAGTGGAGGTTATTGAGAAGTTGCCACCATCCATCACAGTGAAGGGTGTTAGAAATTTTCTGGGACATGTTGGGTTCTACAAGAGATTCATCAAGAACTTCTCTAAGACTGCAAGACCCATGTGCAGCCTATTAAAGAAAGAGATAAAGTTTGAATTTGATGAAAAGTGTTTGCAGGCATTTGAGCTGTTGAAGAAGAAATTGATAGAATCACCTATTCTGATTGCTCCTAACTGGGAGCTTCCATTCGAGCTTATATGTGATGCTAGTGATATAGTGGTTGGGGCAGTGCTTGGGCAGCGAAAAGATAAGATGTTTCATTCCATATACTATATCAAATTATACTGTCACCGAGTAAGAGATGCTGGCATTAGTGTTTGCATTTGATAAGTTCAGGTCATACTTGGTAGGAACCAAGGTTGTAGTTTACACTGTGATCATGTTGCAATCCGGTATTTGTTTAACAAGAAGGACGCCAAGCCGAGGCTGATTAGATGGATCCTGCTCTTGCAAGAGTTTGATCTAGAGATAAAAGATATGAAGGGAGCTAAGAACCAAATAGTTGATCATCTGTCTAGATTGGAGGACTATCTCATGTGAAGAATGAAGGACAGATTCGCGAAGAGTTCCCCGATGAACAATTGCTTGCCTTGGACCTTGCTCAAGTGCCTTGGTATGCTAACAATGTTAATTTTCTGGTGAGTGGTTTATTTCCACCTAGGGCCTTAACACATCAAAAGTAGAGGCTGAAGTATGATGCACGCTTTTATGTATGGGATGAGCTCTTCTTATTCAAGAAGGGACCTGATCAGATGGTGAGAAGGTGTGTAGCTGAACATGAGGTGGCACAAGTGTTGGAGAGTTTTCACTCTTCACCATATGGTGGACACCATAGGGGCGAACGCACTGCACATAAGGTATTGCAATCTGGTTTCTTTTGGCCTACTCTTTTTAAAGATGTTGCTATGTTTGTGAAGGGTTGTGATCAGTGTCAAAGGATGGGCACCATTTCTAGAAGGCATGACATGCCATTGAACAATATACTGGAAATTGAGATCTTTGACGTCTAGGGATAGACTTTATGGAACCATTCTCATCATCCCGTGGAAATCAATACATCTTAGTGGCAATGGACTGTTGACACCCAATTTTGGCTCTCCACACTTAACTAAAATAATAAAATATATATATATATGTTATGAAATTTTTATAAGAACACGAAAAGATTTTTAATTATTTATTTTTACCTCATAAATTTATTTCAATTTCTTATAAAAATTAAATATATTATATTACTACTTACTTTCTCATTTTTTTTTAAATAAGTGTTCTTCTTAAGAATTGAATCTATTTTTTGTTCAAATATAATTTCTTTTGTCGCAATAGTTATTTTTCTTACATTGTTTAAAATTAGAAAGCTTAATTAATTAATGAGTTACTAATTTATAATAATTTAATTTTAAAAACGACTAATTTGATCAAATAAGCTAATCTTGCAAAATAATTATCTCTTATGGCTATTTAATAAAGAAAGTAGTTATAATTTAAATGAATTTAATTTGAGCAAATTTGGCAATCCAAGTCTTCTTAAACCGGCCAATCCGTGTATGCCATGTAGGCGAGCACATGGATTGTGCTTCTTTAGCTTAAATCTTGTCCCTTCGATTAAATCTAACGGTCCTAGTTAATTAAGCTTTTATCATTAGTTTATTTATTTTTATAAATTTTTTTTATTATTATTATTATTTTAAAAACTCCATAATTCTTATTAACCGTCCGATCAAACGATCGGACGGCCCAAATTAATCAAGACCTTTCTTCCTCCCTAAAGACCCCAACGTTTCTCCCCTTCCCCATAAAGAAAAAGAAACGTCTGCTTCTTCTTTTCCCCAAAATAGTACAAGCCGCCCAGTTTTTTCCCTAGACCACGCCCCCTAGTTCAACATCTTCCCCAACGTTCTCTTTACTTTTTCAAGAAAAGGACGACACCCCTTACTATTTCTCCTCCTTCCCCATGCCAGACGACCCATCCCATCAAGAACGGCTTTGGACCGCCGGAAAACAACGATTTCCGGCGGTCTTCAACGTATCTCCCTACCCTCCATCAATCATAGCTTCCCTCTTGTCAACTTTACATCCCTTCCATCATCTTTTTTGGACCAAAACAGACCTCAAAAGCCTTACCATCGACACTGCTACGCCTGAAAAAGTGAAAGGCGTGAAGAACCATCGGATTTGGGCTAATTGTCCCTTTAATCTGATGGGTGTAAGGTTCCATCATTTATTTTTTGAACGTAGTAGAGGCTCCAAATTGGCTATAAAAAAGAAAACTTTGGCTCTCTTTCAACCATCCAACAACCAAGAGAAAAACTTTCAAAATCATTGCGAAATTAGAATCCGAAATCACCTAGGAAACAGATTGTAAGATCATATTTTTGTCCTTTGTTTTTGATTTGTTTAAATTTGAGTTTGAAGTTGGATATCTTGACGTCAAAGCCCCTGTTTGCTGCTCGATAAAAGGTACAACTTTCGTTAATCTCTTTACTTTATTTTGTCTTAATGTAATTTTTCTGAACATTGTTGAAAAATTGTAATAGGGCGTCCATTAACAGATTTTGCTGAGACATCTGTGATTAAAAAAAATGAAGAAAGATTAAGTTTTAATCATGCTTGTATCGATATCTGGATGCCCATCATTAACGTTAATGTGTTTATCATACCTGATAAAAATAGAAGAGGAAGACTGTTAGTTTGATGTTATACAAACTGATTGGAGAAATGATTGTTCTTCATCTTGATTGAGCCCCTCCATGTGTCTCATCTTCTCGAGTTAAAAGTAAATATACATGTTACAAATGAATTTCCCAAGTTTAGTAATTGCCCCATAGATCTTATTTATGTGTTCAAATAGTTAAGTGTTTTTTCTTAATATTATAATCTCCATGAAAGATTTGGTATGATTCAAATGAGTTCTCCAGCAACTCAATTTTTTTTGTATCATAAGCTGCTGGGAATTTATTTTGTCAAACTATCCCGTGTTATATCAACTTTTGGTTTAGTTGGTCCTTTTCGTATATAGAGAATCAAAGTATAGTTTTTTTTTTATATTATTATTGAAATGATTGGAAAGGCTGTTTAACTCTCATGTTCTCTTCCAAAAGTACATTTATCTGATTAACATAATAGACTACATATGAGTTATATTATTAAGGGAAAATTAGTAAACTAGTCAAAAACAATAACATAATTAGTAAAAATATCCATACTTTATAAATATTAGTAAAAATGTCAAAAATGTCATTATTTTAAAAAACTTTATGTATCCTAATTTTCTTCCTACTTTATCTCCCATTGACAATTACACGTTTTCAATTAATTATCTCTCCTATTTTATTTTTTTAAAACTTCTCTCTCTCATATTTATCTTTTCAGATTCTTAATTCTCTCTCTTATTTAAAAAAAAAAATCCATCTCTTATCTTTATCTTTTCAGAGTATCCTCCAACATTCAAGTTGCCCATATATCTCTTCTGCAAATTTTGATTGTTTTTTTCAGAAATTAAATCAACAACAATCCCTTTGATTAAGGTACTAATCTTTATCCTATTTTTAGTATTTCTTTTTCTGATTTTATTTTTGTTTAAATCTTTAAAGATTGTTGTTTGTAGTTGAAATTTCGGTTAGGATTCACTCTCCATTGACTGAATCCAAGAGGCTTACTAGAGGTATCCAACTTAATCAACAAATTGCTAACGATTTTTCATCCTTTAATCTATTTATTACTCAAGAAATAGCGGATAATGTAGGATCCGCTGCTAAAATGAGGGAAGAGAGACGATCAGAACATTTACAGGACCCAATCGGTGTGCAAAACCTTCCTCAAATTCAGAACGGAAATGTAGAATCTTCGTCTACTCGTGGGGATCTTGAAAAAGACGACGAAGAACGAATAGTTGTCGAAGAGGATGGAAACGAAGAGGTATTTAATTATTTGTGCATGTTTAGTTTTTTGCATGTTGAGTTGAAGTTGTTAAAGAATAATTTTTTTCAATAATTTTATTTTAGACTGCAGTTTTATCTATATTTTTTTTGTATTTCAAAATCCATTTAGTATGTGTATTGATATTGATTAGATTTGCAAATGTTTATGACAATGTGCACGTTTGTTAGTATGTATTTTGTATTCTCAAATTTATTTTGTTTTTGTATTTTGGGGGTATTTTTGTTAGCTTTGTTAATAGCAAAAGATAAAAGCAAAGCAGCATGAAGAACATCACATTGTTTTTTACTGTCATTATATAAAGCAGGTGGCATGAATTAAATTTCAACAGAGGTTTTATAAAGTAAATCCTTAAGAATACTATTAAACAATTAGTTTGTATCCAAACAAGTAAGATACATATTAACTTGTTAATTTGTTTTTCTTTTAAACAATTAGTGATGCTAGTTCAGATTGTATTCATTCCTTATTATTTGATTGTTTTGTATTCATTAGTTTTAGCTGTGTTATGTGCTCTATAAGTTACTTTTTTACATGTCTTTGTATTCATTATGCTTTGTGTATCAATTTATAGTTATGGACATTGTGGGAGTCTTGTTTGTATCCAGTAAAGTAAAGATACATATAAACTTTATACATTTTGTTTTGTTTTTAACAAATAGTAATGCCATTTGATTTTTTTCTAAGTTAAAGTAAAGATACATATTAAATGTATTCATTGTATTCATGCACTTTTGTTTCATTGTTTTGTATTCATTACTCCATGTTTGATTTATTCATTAAATCATAATAATTATTGTATATGTCAGGTTTGATTTATAAGTTACATTATTGTATAAATTTGTTTTTATGTGATGTAGTTTATAAGTTACAGTATGGCATAATTTATATATTTATATGCTTGCCAAGTTAAATATTTTTTCTTCCAAATCTAATTTACTCAGGAAAATGCTTTTGCCTACAAAGATCTACCCAAGGATGCACCCCACATTCACTGCTTTGTTAACCATGACATTAAAACTCAGTTGACTAAGCATCTTACTGAGCAACAATATAATTTGTTTTGTGAGAAAATATGTTTCGATCATTATATGAGAATGAGAATATGTGTTGGTCAAGGTCAAATTCTTAGGTGTTGTATGGCACTAGAACTTGAATGTAGTACTTGGCAGGCTCTTGTTATCCGAGTTAATGGAACTGTCTTGAAGTTTACACTTAGAACGTTTGCACTGATTACTGAATCAAATTGTGTTGGTGTCATAGATGATTTCAATTTCAACACTAAAGAACCTAATAGGTTGATTGTTCAATACTTTGGTGGTAATGAATTTATCCGTAAATTAGACTTAATGAGCAGATTCACAAAAAAAGTTTGGGCAGACAATGAAGACAATGCTCTTAAGTTCGCCATATTGTATTTCATTCATACATATGTGTATTCCGGCGAAAGGACATCAAAGAAAATTCCTAGAATTCACTTTGATTTGGTTGAGAGTGGTCGGTACAGGCAATGAAAGTTGATATAATTGTTGAAGATCAGAGCGATGAAAAATAACTTTATGGCATGTTGCATTTGTATCTAAACTATCAAATTGTATTCTACTGTTTTTATTGTCTGTTGCATTTTGTATTCATTACAAAATTCATGTGGTATCTTGCTAAATTTTGAGTTTTTTAGGTGTAACTTGTATTTATTTTGTAGGTGGTATTCATTTCAAACTATGTATATGTTTAATTTTGTATTATATTTTAGGACAATAGATAAATAGTTTTACAGAATTTTATATGCTATTCTAAATTAGGCTTCATACAATTTTATATTTTTTTATTATTTTGTATTCATTCTAACTATATACCAACAAGTTTTGTATTTTTTTGTGCTCACTTTGTATTTCAATATCATTTTGTATTTTAATCTCACTTTGTACACAAAGCATAATGAATACAAAGACATGTAAAAAAGTAACTTATAGAGCACACAACACAACTAAAACTAATGAATACAAAATAATCAAATAATAAAGAATGAATACAATCTGAACTAGCATCACTAATTGTTTAAAAGGAATACACGTTAAAACTCAGTTGACTAAGCATCTTACTAAGCAACAATATAATTTGTTGTGTGTGAAAACAATGTTGACTAAGCATCTTACTGAGCAACAATATAATTTGTTTTGTGAGAAAACATGTTTCGGTCATTATATGAGAATGAGAATATGTGTTGGTCAAGGTCAAATTCTCAGGTGTTGTATGGCACTAGAACTTGAATGTAGTACTCGGCAGGCTCTTGCTATCCGAGTTAATGGCAAAAGCATTTTCCTGAGTAAATTAGATTTGTAAGAAAAAATATTTAACTTGGCAAGCATATAAAATATATAAATTATGCCATAATGTAACTTATAAACTACATCACATAAAAACAAATTTATACAATAATGTAACTTATAAATCAAACCTGACATATACAATAATTATTATGATTTAATGAATACACCAAATATGGAGTAATGAATACAAAACAATGAAACAAAAGTGCATGAATACAATGAATACATTTAATATGTATCTTTACTTTAACTTAGAAAAAAATCAAATGGCATTACTATTTTGTTAAAAAATAAATACTCCCCATATTTTCTTTGTATTCAAACTAAAA